GGCCCGCCACGACCAGCAGCTGCGCGCCGCCCTGGACGAGCTGGGCCGCGCCAAGGACCGGTGAGGCCCCGGGGAGGGGCGGGAGGGAAGCCCGGCAGACTCCGCGGAGGAGGCGGGAGGCACGGGCTGGGAACCAGGAGCAAAGATCTCCAGAGCTGTGCGTGCCTGGCATCGCAGCACTGAGGAGTCTGAGGCTGGAAGAACAGGAGTTCGAGTCCAGCCTCGATGACAGGGGGAGTTAGGAGTACAGCCTGGGCTACGTGAGTGTCTCAAACTGTTCAAACGGGGCCAGCTGTCCCGCAAGGCCTAATCCCGTTGTACTGCCCGCCCTGCGGGCTCGAGGATCGGAGGAGATGTGGAGAGAAGAGCATGTCCCAGGGGCCGCTGGGTAGGAGCCACATCGGTAGACAGAGGCACAAAGCACCCGAGGCCTTGATGTCAGAGCTGTGGCAACCTTTTTGGGCCACGAGGAAGTCCTGCTGAAGGAGACACAACACTGGCATTGGTTTGGTTTGCTTTGGAGTTTCGGGACAGGGTTTCTGCTGTCCTGGGATTCTCTTTGTAGACCACACTGGCCTAGAACTCACTGAGATCCGCCTGCTTCTGCCTCCCCAGTTCTGAGATTAAAGGTGTGCGCCGCCACAGCCCCGGTTTGTCGTCGTCCCCCCCGCCCAGGCTAGCCTTGAAGGCACTGTTAGCCAAGGATAACCTTCAGCTCCTGATCCCTCTGCCTCCACCTCTGGGGTGCTAGGGAGGAACCCTGACTCCAGGCATGATGTGGGTTGGGGTCCTTTACCAGCGCAATGGAGATGACTGTGGGTAAGGGCACTCACTTGCCACTAAGAATGGGAGGCAGAGGCAGGAGGATCTCCATGAGTTCCAGGCCAGCCTGGTCTACAGTAAGAGTTCCAGGGCAGCCAGAACTACACAGACAACCCCTGTCTCGAAAAACAGAACAAAAAGATGAAGAATTTTATCCCATGGGATGTAAGGAGGGAGCCAACTCTTGCAGGCTGTACCCCAACTTCATGTGGGCACGTGAACATGCATACAAGCATGCAAATAAAGAGGCAGTGGAGGAGGGACCTAGGAGCCTCTGAGGGTTCCAGCGTGGGCAGGTGCAGACCCTCCACCCCCAGTCCTAACTACGTCCTCTGGCCCCCCCTCCAGGGAGATTTCTGCCCTCCAAGAGCAGCTTCTGAGCTCGGAAGCCGCCGTGCGCAGCCTGCAGGCCGCCGTGGACCAGAGGGACCAGCTGATCCAGCAGCTGCAGCCCCGGGCTGACTTACTGCAGGACATCGCTCGCCGGCGACCACCCCTGGCTGGGCTGCTGGCCGCCCTGGAGGAGGCCGAGCGCCTGGGCCCCTTGCTGGCCAGCAACCAGGGCCAGCTCCTTCCCGATGGGCCTGGCCCACCCCTGAGCAACAGCACTGGGGAGGAGGGCCAGGACGAGCTTCAGCCTGCCGTGTTTGGGACCACTGTGTGAGCTGCCCTGGCAGTCCAGATCTCAGGGTGTGGCCAAGGCCCTGGACATCACCAGTGTCCCTCCCGGAGGGGACCTGGGACATTACTGGGATCCCATCTAAACATCAAAAGAAGCAAAAGGCCAAGATCTCACTTAAAACAGTTTTCTCCCCTTTCTTGGGGCATCTGCTACATTCAGTTGATTTTAAATAATCCCCAAAATAGAGAAGGCTGGGCCGGTGGCTCAGTGGTAGAGCCCCCCACCCATCATGCACAGCCTGGTGGCAGCCTGACAGACGGACGGACGCCTGCCGTCCCAGCACTGGTGAAGTAGTGGGAGTCCGACCCCTCGTCTCAGTTTGACTGGAGCTGTGCTGTCTCCTGTTTGAGACAGGGTCCCACATAGCCTAGGCTAGCCTCTAACTGCTGTCTCAGGAGGGTGGCTTGAGTTCTGCTGGGGTGACAGGCGCCCACCACCAGGCCCCGTCTTCTTTGGGCTTTGTGTTTTTATTTTTGCTATGAGGTGGGGTCTACCTCCATAGCCTCGGCTTCCCTGGGCCCCACGGCCCTCCCAAGTGCTTTTATATAGGTGTGAGTCACCAGCCCCGCTGATGTGACCCCCTTCTTACTCTTAGGCCTCCTGAACCGTCGTCCTCATCCAGGGCAGGAGCTCCTCTTTATTTCACATTCTGTTGCTTCTGGATAAGAAGACAAATCATCGCCCTGGATCTGTTTAATTTCTCTCTGGGGAGAGCAGGCGGGTCAAGACACCAGTGGAAACCTCAGCCTTTGCCTCAGGGCCTCTGCACCGTCTGTTCCCTGTGCCTCCCGCTCCGTGCTTTCCCCATGACACTCAGGTTTCTCAAACGCCCTGTCCGAGGGCCTCTGACCAGCCTCCCTGTAGTTACTCCTACAGCCTGGCTGCTGCCCGCCACTGTGATGGTTTGGCTTTCTTGAGACACAGTCTTGTGTAGCCCAGGCTGGCCTCTAACTTTTTATGTAGCTTGGGCTGGCTTTGAACTTCTGGTCCTCCTGCCTCCTGTCGACATCAGTGCCTGCCAGAGCCGGTGAGGCCCCCAACAGCCAGAGCCTCCTGGACATCGGATGAGCCCCTGCCCTGTTCTGGGGACAGTGGTGTCTTTGTAGCAAGTCTCCTTTGGATACCCGAAGAGAACCTATTTTTTAGCTCCTGGTTAGTGCTGCCCCCGACCTGCCATGGTGAGGCTGTGTTGCCTGTCAGAGCCCTGAGAGCGAGGGTCCCCACACACCGCTGCAGCCAGCGGCTGCCTGCTGAGTTCCATGGTCCCCGAGCTCAAGGAATTGCCCTTGAGCAGCCACCAGGAGGGAAGAGGCTGCTCCATCCGGAGGGGCTCAGCTGCCCCTGAACCTGGACGGTGCTGACTTCCTGTCTGGGAGAAGGGGATTGTTTGTACAGGGGAGGCGGGCTAGGGCCTGTCTGCACTAGAATAAACCAGTTATTTCTATGCCTGGGCTGCTGTTTTCCTGTGGTGGGGACTGAGGAGGACACTGCCGGCCTCCTCGGACAGTTTTATCAGTTTTACACCCGAGTGGGGTGGAGTCAGGCGCCCTGCAGCTCAGCGCACAGGCTGTTCCCAGTGACAGTTGAGGGAACTCAGGCCAAAGCGAAGGGAAACTGCTCTGCATACAAGCCCAAAGCCACTTCCAATTTAGGGGACAAGGAGCATATTGAAACTCCCATTACCCAAGTCCCGCCTTCCAGTCCCCTACTAGGCGGGGCTCCACCCTGACCACATTCTCAGGCCCTCACTGGGGGTTGTGGGCGGGGCTTCACTCCTGACCACGCCCCCAGCACATCCCTGGGGGATTCTAGGGGGTGGGGAATTGTGATGCTGAGATTCACTCCCAGCCTTGTATCTTATTAAGACTCAGAATTGCTGGGGCTGTAGCTTAGAGGCAAGGCTTGCTTGCCGTGGATTGAGACCCTGGTTTCTACCCCAGCACTGTGAAAAGGAACACTCCCAGCAACTCTTACGTTAATTCTGTTTTACATTTCTCTATAGAAAAGCAATGGTGCCTGGGGAGTGACTTGGCACTATGTGCCTGGCCTGCCAAGGCTCTGGGTTCCATACCCAGAACCCCAAACTGAAAACAATGGGCTATTTTCCTGCGCCTCGCCAGTGTGTGGAGCACAACAGGCCATCCATTTGGGCAGCAAATGTCACTCCAGTTTCTCATGAACTGAATCAGGACACTGGTTGGCTTGCAAACGCATGGGTAATTTTTCTTTTGACTTTGAGACATGCTGCGGGCCGCAGGAATATATCATAAGAACTCAGCTGGCTATGGCAAAGTCACTACCTGGAGGGATCATGGAATTCCTCCCGAGGAAGCCAAATCCCAAGGAGTTTTTGGTGTTACTTGGCTTGTTTTATCAGCTGTCTTCTGTTATGAAAATCATGTGTGCCTTCATAGCTTTCCCAATTGACTTTTCCCTAAGAAGGACTAACAGTGTGGACTGATCACTCTCTGGACATACACAGTCCAGGTATTTGGAGAACAGCCTCAGGAAAGGCTTTCTCTGGAATCAGATATCTCCCTTGGCCACTTTCAAGGACTAACAGTAATAACAGTCCACATGAAGGTCTCCTGATTTAAGACAAATTCCACAAGGAGACACCGCCAAGAGAGGTGGACGTTAAGTAATAGCTTTACACAATTTAGCTCGGATCCTCCCTTTATATACCGAGACTTCCAGGGCACCGGGAGAGAAGAGAAAACAGAATGAAAGAACTAGATGGGTAAGAACTTGAGAGGAACGAACTGAGATGGGGAAGAACTAGATTGAAGAGCTAAAAGAGAGGACAAGAGGAACGAGATGGAAGATGAGGAAGAGCCAGATGGGGAAGAACAAGATGAGGAAGAGCCAGATGAGAGAGAAGGGGACGAGAGAGGAGCTGATGGGGGAAAGAACTAGATAGATGAGAACCTAGAAGGGGCAGAACTAGATGAAGGAATTAAGATAGAACTTAGAGGGGACAGTAGATAAATATAGAGAAATCAGGCAAGAAAAGAGCTAGACATGAGAACAGAACTGAAGCTGTGTGTAAAGGATGTTATGCCAGAGGAATTAAAGCAAGTGGACTATAGAGCTCGGTGTGCTGAGATTCTATTTCCTGAAAATACTCCTGGCCGTTAGTAGTTCTCTCTCCTGAGCCCCTGGGATGTGTAATATTGAGGCTGGTTCCCTTAATATTATACAAGAGAGACAGTCCCGTGGCCTGGAACTCCTGCCCTTCTATCTTCCTGTGCGTTGGGATTACAGCCATGTACCACCAGGCCCCGGGTTTTATTTTCTATTTTTTAACGTAGTTCCAGTCAGTAGCCCAACTTGGCTTCAGACTTTCAGCTGTGTCCCCACCTCAAGTCTAAACAGCTAGAGAGCCGAGGTGATAAGCCTGTGCCACCATGTCCAACTAGCCCTCGACTGGATTTGGCCAGGCTATCCCATGTAGTCAAGAGTGGGACAGCTGTGTGCCCCAAGTCTCGAGTCAGGCTTGAAGCTACCGTGGCCTCACAGCGCCTGCCCTGCTAGGCTGGCTAATGTGCTTGACATAGAGCGAGTTACAGCTGGGCCCCTCCCAGTCCCCGGAGCCATACTGCCTAGCAACAGCTGTGCCAGGCAGGACGCACAGACCTCCCTGGAGCGCCACAGGCAAGACTCGGGGACACAGGCAAGCAAGCCAGGTGAGTGGCTGGGGTGTTCTTGGGCCGTGTGGCATCACCCGCTCTGTGCCGGGCCAGCCGAGTACGGAAACTCACTGGGAGTCCTGTGCCTCTGCAGCTGTTCATTTGCACTCGCAATGGACACCGTGGACGCCACCGTGGAGAGGCTGAGGGCTCAGTGTCTGTCCCGAGGGGCCGTGGGCATCCAGGGCCTGGCCAGGTGAGCCCTCAGCCCAATGCTCGCTCGCAGCGCCTTCTGGCCCCAGCAGCCCCGCATCCATGCAGCCCCATCTTGATCCCCAGGTTTTTCCGCCGCCTGGACAAGGATGACAGCCGGTCCCTGGATGCAGGGGAGCTGAGGCAGGGCCTGGGGCAGCTGGGGCTGGAGGTGGGGGAGGCAGAGGCGGAGGCGCTGTGCAGGCGCTGGGACCGTGACGGCAGCGGGACCCTGGACCTGGAGGAGTTCCTGCGGGCGCTAAGGGTGAGGCCGGCCTCAGAGGCCGAGGGAGGGGCTGGTGAGGGTCCCAGCACTCGCTCAATCACTGTCCCCCCACAGCCCCCCATGTCCCAAGCCCGGGAAGCTGTCGTTGCAGCTGCCTTTGCCAAGCTGGACCGGACTGGCGATGGTGTGGTGACTGTGGATGACCTGCGGGGTGTGTACAGTGGCCGGGCTCACCCCAAGGTGCGCAGTGGCGAGTGGACGGAGGACGAAGCCCTGCACCAGTTCCTCGACAACTTTGACACATCTGAGAAGGACGGGCAGGTGTGTTCACTTGGTACCTCCCACAGGGGCAGCATGCCTGGCCTGGGTCCCCCCTCACGGCGTGCACCCCCACAGGTCACACTAGCTGAGTTCCAAGACTACTACAGCGGACTCAGCGCTTCAGTGGACACCGACTCAGAGTTCGTGGCCGTGGTGAGCAGTGCCTGGCGCCTCTGACGTGGCGGCCCCCACCTGCCTGGCGCCTCTGACGTGGCGGCCCCCACCTGCCTGGCAGCGGCCCTTAGCCTAGTTCCCCGACCCACCTGCTGCCGTTACCACTGTCCTGGGGCCCCAACCAGACACAGGGAGGGGGTGTGTGAGACGGGAGGCTGAAGAACCGGCTGGACCAGGTCTGCGGCAGGGGCACCCGCAGGCCTGGATTCATCACTGACCCCATGGGGCCCCCATGGCCACACCCAGCTCATCTGGCTGCCAGGTGCACAGGCGGCCAGGGTTTAGTTAAAAGTTTTAATGCAGTTCTCAAATACATTTCATATGACAATCTTACATAAATGTTCCAAAACACATGGGCGACGTCTCGAGTCACTTGTCACTGGCTGGCTAAGGCTGTAAGCAGAGTGTGACCCATCTGCCAGGCAGCCTCTGGTGTCCTTGCTGGCTCCCTGGCCAGAGATGGAACCACAAAGTCCATGGGTGGGGGCGTCGTCTTCCGCCAAGGACAGGCCCTCCACAGGGCCTTTGCCTCTCAGGGCCCGCGATGGTCGGTTACCTCAGGGCCGTGCTGCGCCGGGTACCTGCTTAAGGAGGCCCAGGTGGTGTGGGTGGGCAAGAGCCAAGAACCCTCCTGGGGCCCGCCACCTTTGTCTAGACAGGTGTTCTCAGGCCCAAACTTAGGGGTTCGCTGTAGGGGCCGGGCGCCACCCACAGGAACGAGTCAGCTCAGCCCACGAGCAGCTTCATCCAGGCCCGTGAAAGCCACGTCATCAGAATCAACGAGAGGCATTAGCCACATGGACGTGGCAGAGCGGGGAGCCGGCAGACAGCAGGTTCTCTGAACAGAACGCTGAGCCCGGAGTTTGAACTGTTGCTGCCCAGAAGGAGAGGCGGTCACCACAAGGCTGGGTGGCCAGGCCTGAGCCGGCAGAAGCGGTGACAAGTGTCAATGTGCCGTTTCGATCGGAGGAGGAGGAGGAGGGCGGGGAGCGTTCTTTCTGCTCATCAATATGATGAGGTCTGAGTCCCAGGCCACATCCTGGCATCCCCGTCTGCTGCAGAGGGGACACGCGGATCCAGCCTGTGGCCACCCCAGCAATAGACACCACCATGACGCGGCCTGCAGGGAGGGACGGGCAGCGGACAGACGACAAAGCAGCAGCCTGACGCAGTGGCTCCGCTGCTATGTGCTCCCAGGGGTCTGGCCATCCCCTTCGTCACCTGTGCCTGTGGGAAGAGCAGGTCCCTCAGACCCAGCACACAGCCACCATGGACGGGGGCGGGGGGGGGGGGGTCCCTTGCTGCTCACCGGCTCCCGAGGGAGTGACCCCCGAGGGAGTCAGCACTGCATCCTCATCACTGTCTTCCTCCTCGGCGGCCCGGGTGGCTCCTGGCTCAGGTGCGGGTACCTTGGCCTCCTGCTCCTGCTCCGCGCGGCTCCGCAGTGCCAGGATGCGGTGGTGCAGTGCTGCGTACAGCTGGCCAGTGTCCTTGGAGCTGGCCTGCGGAGACAACGTGTGAGGTGGCAGGGCCTGGCCGGCCGACTCCTCCGACAAGGGCCAACCACCACCCCGGTGCAGAAGACCCCTGGAGTCAGGCCAGACACTAAGGTCGGAGCGGGGTCTCTCATCCCCGCACATGCGATGTGCAGCAGAGGGGCAGCATGGCGCACCACACGGCTATCAGGAGGCGTGTGTCCTTGCTGGTGACATCAGCACAGTGACCAGCACTGAGCCAGTGTTCCACCCCAGCCTCCCCAGCTCACCGAGATCAGAAAGACCTTGACGGCCTGGTCCTCGGCATCTGTGGCTGTGATGCGGATGCTCTTTTCACTGGCCTTGTCCATCTGCATCTGTGCCCACAGCTTTGTGTTCAGGATGAGCCGCAGGCTGCCCTGGGTCCGCATCACTGCAGCAAGGAGGCCGCTTAGCCACACGCCTGCCCCAGCCTACAGCCCACGTCCAGAAGGGGAGAGCCGGGCAGCCGGGGAGCCGTGCCCTTGCGGGGAGGGGATGGTCTGGAATTGGCCAGGAGCGCCCTCACAGCACCCTCCTGAGATGGAGACTGCCCAATCCCACCCGAGGACCAAGCCCCGGCCATCACATGTGTGAGGAGGGTCCCAACTCTCCCCACCCAGTCAGAGGCCAGGCGCGCATCTGAGGCTCTAGGAATAAGCCTCACAAAGGTGGCTTGCTACCTGCTGGGTAGAAAACACACGACTACCCCGTGTGCACAGGTTCACAGGTCACAGACGGCCACGGCCAAGAGGAGGACTGCAGACGTTCCCATCAACTTTTTTTTGGTGGCAGGATCTCAGTAGCCTGGGCTTGGCCTTGAACTTACAGCAGTCCTCCTGCCACACCTCCCATTCTGGGCCTAAGCTGACTTTTATTGGGAATATAACCAAACAAGAAAGAAGCTCCCTTGTCTTTGGAAGAGGTCAAACATGGGTATGGCAGGCTTGCAGTGGACCCCAGGCCAGCCTGGGCTACAGAGTGAGACCATTTTCACAAAGTCCCCGGAACAGGAGGGCAGCTCTGACGCTTGCGCGGCCCTGTTCTGAGCGATCACAGCCCGCTGGGTCCTCTGGCTTTGCTGAGGTTGCACGCTGACGCCCAGGCTGGCGTTACTGCTGCCAGGCTGCCGGAGGCTCACAGTGGGGATTGTAGCCCTGCTCACAGCCATGCCCCTGCCCACCTCTAGGAGGGTCTGTACTTCCCCAGTGCTCACCCAGCCGGGACTGTAACGTGCCGTCGTCAGTCGACGCCATATCGTTGAGCCTGAGAAGTCCCCGGCCACGCTCCACCCACGACTGGGAGGTCTTGTCAAACACAAACAGCTTACACTGGATCTGGAAGACATGGGGTCGGCGGCGAGCAGGGTAAGAGCGCCTGCCCTCTGGGCCCCACAAAGCTCAGGCCCCACTTCAAGTCAAGAGCTACCAGTGACGCTGGGGTATCTGATTACCCCCCGGCTGCCAGCTCCACGAGCTATGGCCAGGATGCTGACGGCAGTGCCCAGCTTAGTTATCCAGTCGTCTGTGGATGGGTTTGAGTTCCGTGGGACCGGGAATGGAACCCAGGCTCCCGCATGCTAGGCTCTACCACAGAGCCCTGCTCCCTGCTCAAGTGTGGAAAGCAGGGGAACATCCAAACCCACGAGATGCCACCCACAGCATTCCCACAGCGAAGGAGCACTGGGTGCTGTGATGAGCGGCCTGGCTGCAGGGCATCCTACCGTGCCGGGGAGACCACAGCATGGCAGTCCTTCCACTGCCCACCCAGAAAGCAAGTAAATGTCCTCCTCACAAACACGCATGGGCCATCCTGCTTACAAGAGTCCCAAAGCACAGAGGCCACGTTATCAGCTCCCTGGTGCCATGCGGCCCTTAGTGTCACAGCAAGGCACAGAAACAGCAGACCCAAGGACACCACGCTTAGTGACAAAGCCAGGATAACATTCCACACATCGGGGCACACCGCAAGAACCGTCCAGAACTGGGAAGGCGTGGGGGCCGGGGTGCTGGCTCGCTGGGATGGGGCCTTATTTAGGGGTCGAAAACCCCCTGTCAAACTGGGACAATGGTTATGCAACTCATTTTGGTTTCCTTGGGGCAAAAAAGTTCCTGGTTGGCCTGGCACTCTCTCTGTAGTCCAGGCTAGCCTTGAACTCACAGAGGTCTGCCTGCCTCCGCCTCCTGAGTGCTGGCGTGCGCCACCAGGCCCAGATTCTTTGTTGTTGTGGAAGGGGGGTCTTGCTATATGTAGCCCAGACTGGCATCATTCCTGGCAACCCTGCCTCAGCACGCATGGTCTCACCTGCAGCACGTTGCTCTCTGCCTCCTCCCCCGTTATGACCTCCACCTTCTCCAGGAAGCATGTCCACGCTGTAGCCTTGGTGTAGGCAGCGGCTGACTCAGCCAGTGACTCTGCATAGACAGAACCCACCAAAGAAGCGTCAGCAGGCCTGGGACCCCAGGGATCTGAGGAGCCCTGTCCTGGTCGGCAGAGCAAGGCCGCCCACCATCCATCCCGGGCACTTCAGGCCGACCTCTCGTGTCTACTGGGGCCACAGCTGTCCTGCCTGGTGGTGGGAGTCTGCTGAGGTGTGTGCAGAGCTGTGCCCTACCTTTCTTGGGGGCAGCCTCCTGGGACGATGGCTCAGACCCTGACTGGGCATGCGTAGTCTCCCTGCTGGCATCTGAACTGGCTTCATTCAGCTTGGGGGGGCTCTGAGGAAACAAGCGTGCCAGGGCGGAGCTGCTGTGGGTGCTGAGGACAGAGTGAGAGCCCAGCAGGGACGGCCACTCAGCACTTCCCAGAGGCCCGACTCCTGCACACCCTGCAGGGGCCTGTCCTCAACAGCCATGCCTAGTCAGGCCCTCTCAGGACCACAGGGGAGCTCTGTGACAACACACTGTGGCAGACCAACAGGAGGAGGCTGCAACATGGTGACCTTGCCAGGCAACAGGGGGGAAGACCAGAGTCTGTGGATGCCCAGCCCGGAGGCAGACAATGCCGAGAGATGCCAGGCTCTGCACCCTGGGGTACAAGTGTGCAGAAAGCAGGGGGCGTGCACGCGCCTGCTACCCTGGCCGCCCGTCCTGCAGAAGTGGCAGGCGTGGCTGCTCCTGTGGACAGGGACAGACCACCTGTCTCAGTGGTGTGGCTCTGGGCGAGTAGGACAGCTGAGGTTCATCCCAGCTGGCCCTGGCCACAGGGACGCCTAGGTCGGTGGAGAGTAAAGACAAGAAGGGTGAAGCCAGCCCTCTGGCGGCCTCTGTGGGCAACCGAAGCCCGTGTGGGACGTGAGCTGGTCTTTCTCGTCCTGACTGTGCAGGAGACAGCGCAGCAGCCGCGTGCCGCGTGCCCCAAGTGGGGACAGGCACGCACGAGGGAACGGCGCCAGGGCCACTCACCAAGACACGCTCACTCATGTTCTGTCCAAACACAAACTTGTTGGAGGTGTCAGCACTGTGGGTCGAGTTGTCTGCGCTGGAGAGGAGGGCACCATCAGTGTGGCACCCTGATGTGCACCGCAGCACACAGCAGCACACCCCACCCCCAGACTGACACACAGGCAGAGGGAGGACCCCATCTGTACACCAGAGCGCTCACCTGGAGCTGATGTACTGCAGGAAGTAGTTGGTTGCAGTGGGTGTTTCTGA